TATAAATTCCCAGTCTTGAAGACATACATTATTGCCATTATTACTGCATAGGAGAGAAAATGGTGGCTTTTTTAATGAGTATCAAAAATTCATGTCACTGCATGATGTTAAACAGTAGATGGTCTGAACACTCCAGTCTTTGAATACAAGAAATACTGTGAGCATCACTGTAATAGGTAGAATGGATTAATCACCAAACCAGGAGACAAAAGCTTCAGGTCATCCCACTTGCATAAACCCTATCAGAGACCCTTAGGTTAGTAAGATTTCTGTCACTGTGACGAAATAACTGATGAAGACAGAATGAAAAGAAGAAACATTTGTTTTGTCTCACAGTCTCGGAGGTTTCAGTACATGGTTGCCTGCCTCTACGTTAGCCCCGTGATAAGGCAGAGCATCATGACAAGAGGAATGTGTTGACAGAGAGACTTATTACCTCATGGCAGCCAGGAAGTGGGGTGGCAGCCTTAGATAGGGGAAATCCTTCGAGAATACTTCCCTTATATTATTTATCTCTCAATGTTTCTACTGTGTCCCAAAAACTTCATCATGATGGGATCACGCCTTTGGCTTTGGGGGACATTTATAACCCAATTCATAGCTACTAAGTTTAGGAAAAGGGTAGGTTCTAGAGAGGCATAAGTTGGATCATCGTTGAAATAGTGAAGGGGTTATGACCATGACTAGCATGGCAGGGGCTGCCTCTAGCCTTCTTCCTTTAGAACTCTGCTACCAGGAAGGCCTGTTTCCAGGAAGGATGGGCCCCTCACTTTATAGCTTGACAATAACAACTCTATATTTACTTTGATAGGTATCTTAGTATTCAGTATCTTAGGATACTGAAGTTTAGTTATAAGACAGAACACTGTTTTAGAGGGACACCATGGTATTTAAGGCTTCCAAGTTGCCCTTATTCATGGGCAACCTCTTTTTGCTTCATATTGTGGGTTGAAGAAGCTGACAGCTTTGCAGCCATCCTAAGACTACCTATGACCACATTTTTTTTTTTTTCAAATCGTTACATCTTCAGTGTTTTAGGCTAGGGATTTTCATTCTATAAATGAAATGAGTTGAAGTCATGCTTTCTTGCCCAGGCTGACATCTGAGCCTGAGCTGAAGTGATCATTTTCTTGGAAGCCATGAATACCTACAGTTTATATGCCTTACTTGGGGTGTGGCATTTGAAGCTTAAAAGCCAATGTAAATAGGACTAAAAATAGCAAAGTGTCATTAGATCTTGACTTTGAAAAGCCAGTTTTTGAAACTTAAAGACTAGCATTCACTTTTCTGCTCTGGTTCTGATGTGACTTCTTCTAGAAACAAAAAACATGATGACAGACCCCCGGTTCAAGGACACTGGTTAGTGACTGGCCTATGCCATGATGGTATTTCAGTAGTTATAAAACTGACAGTGACGAAAGTACCTGTACTTGCTAATTTTTCTAGCTGTCAGAAAATGTCCTAAGATATTGAATTAAGCCATACTTTGTTCATATGCTATAGAGAGTGTTCACTGTAAAGAAATAAGGTATTGGTCAGGGATATTTGACTAAGCTGGGACTAGTCAGACTTGGGAGTCATTTTAAGCATTTAGACTATAAGAAACAAGGTACAAACCTTAAATTTTAACCCCCAATAAATATGTTCCATTTTGCCTATGTAATATTAGAGGTTCTGGATTTGTTCTTAATGGTGACTGTCACTGTCAGAGAGTTAGGTTACAGTACTTAGGCCAGTGAAATATGTATTACTTTTCAAAATGACTAAAACCTATGTGTTTGTATGTATTTTCTCATTTGCCTTTTTTTTCTTTTTTTATTACATTGTTTAATTCACTTTTATTTGAGAAAAATATTGACACCCATGGATTATCATCATCACCATCATCCAAATCACAATTCCCCCTCCCTCCTCTCCGCCTAGTCCCTTCCTCCCACTTCCCTTTTCCACTTGCCATCCACTCCCCTTCCCTCTTTCTTCAGAAAAGGTCTCCCATGGATATCATCCAAATTTGGCATATCAAGTTGCAGTAAGAGTTGGCACCTTCCATCATATTCAGGTTGAACAAGAAAGTCCAGTATGAGCAAAAGGATCCCAAAAGCTAGCAAAAGGCAGCTCCCATTACTACTGTTAGGAGTCAACACAAGAAGATCAACCTACTCTCATTTGCCTTTATTAATTATTTAGATAATATCTATTGTATGTCAACGTGTGTTATAAATATCCCATATAAAAAGTAAATATAGTCATTTGGAACAGTATTTTTTTGGTTGAAAACTCATCTGTCCTTAAAGGTAGCCAAGTTCCTTTATTTCTATGTGCATTAAAATATATACTTTATTTTTTAATTCTTTATTAATTATACTTTATTCACTTTGTATCCCCCTGTGGTTCCCTCCCTTCTCCCGTCCCAATCTCTTTCTTTCTCCCCCCTCTGCACACATTCCCCTCCCCAAGTCCACTGATAAGGGAGGTCTTCTTTTCCTTCCTTCTGATCCTAGTCAATTAGGTCTCATCAGGAGTGGCTGCATTGTCTTCTTCTGTGGCCTGGTAATTCTGCTTCTCCCTCAGGAGGAGGTGATTAAAGAACAGGCCAATCAGTTTATGTCAGAGACAGTCCTTGTTCCTATTACTATTACCACTTGGACACTGAACTGCCATGGGCTACATCTATGCAGGGGTCTTAGGTTATCTCCATGCATGGTCCTTGGTTGGAGTATGAGTCTCAGGAAAGACCCCTGTGCTCAGATCTTTTGGTTCTGTTGCTCTCCTTGTGGAGTCCCTGTCCTTTCCAGATCTTACTATTTCCCACTTCTTTCATAAGATTCCCTGCACTCTGCCCAAAGGTTGGCCATAAGTTTCAGCATCTGCTTTGATAGTCTGCAGGGCAGAGTCTTTCAGAGGTCCTCTGTGTCAGGCTCCTGACTTGTTCTCTCTTTTCTCCTTCTTCTGATGTCCATCCTCTTTGCCTTTCTAGATAGGGATTGAGCATTTTAGCAAGAGTCCTCCCTCTTGATTAGTTTCTTTAGGTGTACAGATTTCAGTAGGTTTATCCTATATTGTATGTCTATATGAGTGAGTATATATTGTGTGTGTCTTTCTGCTTCTGGGACAGCTCACTCAGGATGATCCTTTCCAGTTCCCACCATTTACCTGCAAATTTCATGATTTCCTTGTTTTTTTTATTGCTGAGTAGTATTCCATTGTGTAGATGTACCACAATTTCTGCATTCATTCTTCAGTTGAGGGGCATCTGGGCTGTTTCCAGCTTCTGGCTATTACGAATAAAGCTGCTTCAAACATGGTTGAGCTAATGTCCTCACTGTGTACTTGAGCCTCTTTTGGGTATATGCCTAGGAGTGCTATAGCTGGATCTTGAGGAAGCACTCACTATTCCTAGTTGTCTGAGGAAGTGCCAGTTTGATTTCCAGAGTGGTTGTACAAGTTTACATACCCACCAGCAATGGAGGAGGGTTCCCCTTTCTCCACATCCTCTCCGGCATGTGTTGTCACTTGAGTTTTTTATCTTAGCCATTCTGATGGGTGTAAGGTGAAATCTTAGGATCGTTTTGATTTGCATTTGGCAGGATTAACATAGTAAAAATGGCCATCTTACAAAAATTTATACTTTACTAAATGTTATAGTTAAAGATTTATAAGTCATATTGTTGCATTGACTTTTCCTGAGGAAATGTGAACAAACATATTCTCGCCCCCTAACCAGACCCTCAAAACAGACCAAAGTAAGAATTTCATCCATGTCCAACTAGGTGAATAATGAGTTTACCGGGCTTACAGTAAGCATGAATGGCACGTTACAGACTGTGTAAACCATGAAACTGTCTTTCACACCGCAAACCTCAACTCCATCATGGATGATGACCTCATGGGAGCTGCCCCAATGTGTTCCACCCTTAGTCACCTTCCCAAGTCCTCTCATCCTGTATAGTCTAGGTCTCCCAAGATCACTACCCCTAAAAAGGAGGGGAAGCATGATGGCCTGATGGTTGGAATCCCAGGTGGAAGTCCAGAACTCTACTTCCTCCCTTCTACTAGGGAGTATTGAAAGCTCTACCGGACTTAGCTGTCAGTGTATCTGATTCTGCTTATTTTGCTATATCACCAACCAGGCCCAAGGATATTTCTATTCTAAGATGATGAAATAGGCATGTTATAACAGGAAGGAGAAGCCAATTTACAACCATAGATGCATATTTAATTGAGACTATAACCTTTGTATATGTCTGTATTTTGCTAATGACAGAAATTGATTTTTAAATAGGTTTTATTATAAGTATAAAATTTTAACTTCCTATTTGTGCAGTAAGGTAAGTTTGAACACTGTGGACTCATTAAAAATGCACTAAGCAGGCAGACGTGGTGGTGCACACCTTTAATCCAGGCACTCGGAAGGCAGAAGCAGATCTCTATGAGTTCGATAACAGCCTGATCTACAGAGCGGGACAGCCAGAACTACACAGAAAGACCCTGTTTTGAAAAAAAAAATAACTAACTAACAGGAGTCTATTCATCACTGAGATGACATATAGAATTACGGAGAGTTGTTAACGAAGTTGGAGTGACAGGTAATGAACCCTGCAGTGGTTTATAGGTGTGTTACATCTTATTAACACACCTTATTAACATCAATTCTGGTTGTACAGAATTGTACAGCACTGTCATTTCTCTTTGACATCATCTATGCCCTTGAGAATGTTTGGGTTATTTGTGTGTGCACTATGTACCTGAGGTTTAAGCAATCACAAAAATAAACAGGGCTCTACAGAACCCAATTATATAAGTCATAGTTGATTCACTGCCTAAGCTTTTAATTATATCTAATTATTTCCTGTTACCTCACTGAAAACCCTGTCAAGTAACCAAGTGATAGGTAACTTTCATCATAGTTTACAACTCATTGTTTTTAAGGGAACATCAAGCTAATTATGGCAGGGTCGGAAATTCTCAAGCAAACAAAAATACTGTTATTTTCATTTCAGATGCGATCTGTGAGCCGAGTCTTTAAGTTCATTGATCTTCCAAAAGAAGAAAGTGAGTGTACCAAGAAAATGAATGGACTACCTGGTGGGGAATCATCTAATGTTTTAGTTATTGAGAATGAACATGTGAAGAAAGGTGATACCTGGCCCTCCGCAGGCGAAATGGTTGTCAAAGACCTCACCGTGAACTATGGGGATGAAGGGAATGCCGTATTAGAGAACATTTCTTTTTCAATAAGTCCTGGACAGAGGGTGAGATTTCAACATTACTTGCTTTGTTTGTGAGTTCCAACAACCATAACAATGTCTTAGTAAAACCATTTGTAACATAATTGTAGAATCAATATTCCTTATACATAGATGAAAGTGTGAATGTGCAAAGTCATTATGTTTCATATGAGTTCTGAATTACAGAGTTCTGAATTACAGGGTTCTGAATTACAGAGTTCTGAATTTATAAAATAGTTTTATTGTAAGTGTGACTATACTTGCAAAATATGTAATTAAATTACAGATTTTCCAGCTGAAGATGTCATTAAACACGTTAACAGGTGCCAAACATACAACCATCACTGTGAACAGTAACAACTTGGTTGATTGGCACAGTGTAACTTTATCCATCCCTTAGGTAATTTATATGAAACTTCAAGCCTATGTGACTTTCCTGTGGGTAATGAGTATTTACAGCTTAGTTCCTTGGGCCACTCTGCCAATCACTGTCGTCTCTTGGGTGGGTCATTTAGACAGTGAGCATCTAGAGTGGCAGGCACACGTGTAAATGAACTTACAGTTTGTTCCTGCTTTTTGGTCCTTACTCTTGCTCTTTATTCCTAATGTTATTTTCAATTCTTTTCTTTCTGTTGTTGTTGTCATTATTTTATGGTTTCAAGTCTTCATCTTCTTAACACAGTAAATCTACTTTTGTGGATTTTTGAAGTTTTCTCTAGTGTTCACAATATATACTTACTATGAATCCAGGTCTGTTTTTAAACAATGATATTTTAACATAAATAGCTTCGGTACCTTCTAGTCCCAATTTCTGTGCTTTATATTCTTTCCATGGTTCATTTTGTGTAGTCATAGGTCATATATGAGTGAGTACAGGCTGTTAAAATGATTTTAAGTAAACTTTCCTGTTAGGTCTATTAAGAGTAAGAAAAGTACAAGTTTTTGTTTTGCTGTCATTTTTTCTTTCCTAAAATGCTTCCTTATTCTTTTAGGTCCAAGTTTGCAGTTTCTTATAGACCTGAGTTGCATCTTTCCTTTTCTCTGAAGAACTTCTCTTAACATATCTTTCAAGATAAGCCTGTTGACAGCACATTGCCTTTGTATTTATTTTATAATTTCTTACTTTGCCTTCACTTTTGAAAGACAACTTCACTAGGTACACAATCTTAGTTTGGTGAGGCCTTATTTTTCCTCCATTGCTCCACTCATTTCCTCTTTTTATGGTGTCCATAAAATTATAAGTAATTTTTATTTCAAATTTTAAAACAAATAATGTAGTTTTTCCTCTGGGCTTTCTTCAAGAGGTTTTCTTTAATAATTTTTGTAGTTTCGAGATATGATATACAATCCATATTGTTACCATATAATTTTTTTTCATCTTCAACCCTTATCACATTAAGCAAGGTTGTTTTACATTCCCAGTCTTTTAATTACAGTGTCCTTGTTATATCTGGCTTTGTTCTATCCTAATATTGCTTCTAATTTACTTTTTTCCTTTCAACATTTTATAATTTTTTTGAAAGGTAAACATACATGATGTGCTTGGGAAAAAGGACTCATAACAGGCTGTCAGTAATAGACTAGATTCGTGCTGGAGTGTAGACTTTTGCAGCCCCGGGATTAAGTTATAGAAGTTATATCTTCAGCTGTGAGTTTGAAAGTACTACTAGCTTATCACCCCTTTAGGTAACAAAGAATGGTTAGAATGGGCTGTGCTAAATATTTCTATATCCTAAACTCAGTTAGGACCTGGGGGAAAGTCTGTACTAAGTTAGACATGATAAAATAGTCTCACTCAAGAAGAGGTCTTAAATGGAAGATAATGCTCTGGCCTATCTCAGAATGATCACTATCTCATGTGGGCACCTGACACCTCAGGTACCATCCTCTAGTCTTTCTGTGATGTCACTGGAGGGTGCCAGGAGCTGTTTCCATCTTCAAAGTCTACAATGATTCTGGGCTGTTTTTCAGGAGAGTTCTGATTCCCTCAGGGTTTCTGCTTGCTGTTTACAGCCTGGAAGGTTGTGACTCTCTGTACCTACTTGTCCTTCTCTCTAGTTCTAGGGGCACAGTCATTTGCTCTGCAGCTTTACCTCTCTGTCAGAAAATTTGCTCAGCATTTTACTTAAAATGGTGTGACTTCTAGCACTTGGGAAACAGAGGCAGGTGGATCTCTGGAAGTTCAAGGCCAGCCTGGTCTACAAAGCCAGTTTCAGGACAGCCAGAGCTACACAGAAAAACCCTGTCTCAAAAAAAAAAAAAATAGTAAGGTTGTCATCAAATCAACACACCTAAATATGTGTTTGATTTGTTCAACATACACTGCATTCCACCTTTAGAAAATCTGGTGTGAGGCTGCAGAATCATTTAATAATTTGAGTAGTCCATATATGTCTTACTAATAATAAACATATGTAAGAGTCTCAGTTGTAATCACCCCATGAATCAAAGTTTCATTTGACTGGCTGTCTTGGTTTCTGGAGACCACAAGGAAATGAGATAATTACAGTGTATTTCCCTCCACTGTTCGAGGGCGGGTAAGGTGCTTTAATGGGACCGCACCAAAACTGCTCTACTCATGACCCATTACCAGGTTAGCACTAATTACCTTTCCAGGCTGTAGTTTGATTTAACCTGTTCCAAAATTTGCAGAAATGAGATACACTGAAGTAACTTAGGATATGTCTTAAGAATTTATTTGCAGGAAGTACTTTTACAAATAAGAAGATAATTATTATGTGACAATTATTCAACAACATGGCTTTGTTAGGGTATAATCCAGTTAGGTTCCTTGCTATTGAAAAGCTGGTCAGCCATAACGCATGCCAACACTTTGCTGTGGGAAACCAGAACAATAGCCAGAGGGTTTAAAGTTAAAGAAAATAGTTATTAACGGCCTGTCAGCCCAGTAGTATGCCAGCATAAGAAACTGAGATTTCTGAAATTTTCAGTACTTCCTTCTGGAAAAACACAGTGTGGCCATTTACCCTACTAGGGATTTGTACTTCAAGGTGTTTTCCTCAAAATAGCCTTTATATGACTCAGATATCATTTTTATTTGTTGAGTTTCATGTTTTTTTTCTTCTGTGCATCACCTGCAGTGACATATTCTGATTTCGTATTTAATGCTTCACTGTGGTGTTGGAAAAATCAGGACATATGTGTGTGTCCAACATGGGCTACTGCAGAAATGGAAACATGCAATGCAAAATTCCTCAAGGTTTTAAAATTAAGATCTGATCTAGCCACTGAACAAAATTAAATAATTATATCATTATTTGTAAGGTGAAAGAAATACATATGCTCTTTCATTTGCGTCTCTTTCTGACTGTCTTTCAGTCAGCCTCAATAAGTATGTATTGAAAACCTTTTGTAAGCCATGTGTACCTGGGCCTATTTATTCATCTATTCTTCCATCAAACCGTTTTCCCATCTTTCCATCTTCCATTGTGTTTATCTGTCAGCAAATCCAAGTACCTATTGTGTAAGCCCACCATTATCCCAGATGGAGAAACTGAAAAAAAAATTGTTAAAGGATGCAACCTTTGTTGAATTTATATTTTTACATAAACACAAAAAATAGAGAAAACAACTACCAAATTTTTCTGCATAACATTTGTTTTGATCATATTTTCCAAAGACAAATTTTTATGAAAATTACCTTGTAGAGCTCTTTTGAGGTTAGAAAGGCAATTATTCTTGCCATTATTCTTTACTAGCTTATGACAAAGGCCTATGTTATTACCAAGTTACCTATAGATACCCAGTAAGATACTCTTATTTTTATTTATTGTGGTCTATGCCATGGTTTGAGTTTATAAGTTATTGCTAGCCTATGATGAAAGAAATGTAGAATCTGCAATTTAGAAATTTATTTATAATATATTTAAAGTACTAATTTGAAGTATACTTTTAAATATTTTATTTATTATATGCACATTGTTCTACCTGCGTGTACACCTGCATACCAGATCTCATGATAGATGGTTGTGAGCCACCATGTGGTTGCTGGGAATTGAACTCAGGACCTCTGGAAGAGCAGCCAGTGCTCTTAACCTCTGAGCCATCTCTCCAGCCCTGAAGTATACTTTCAAAAAAGACAGTTCTTCACCAGCCATGTGAATGTGAAGAGCACTTACCAAAAAGAGAATTTTCTGTCTACAGAGACCAGATGCTAGTATATGAAGGTGCAATGTGGACAGGATGAGCACATTTTAAGTGCTTCAGATAGCAGCTTATTCCGAGGCTAGTTAGGCATCACAGCCAACTGAGCTTATGTCAGAACAAAGTGTGAACTTTGAGGGCTGCCAGGACTCAGGATTGCCTCACGTAGTAGGAGGTAGCCTCCACTGAGGCTATCCTCTTCCAGTTGTGGTCTTTGGATAGAGAAAACTCAATGTGCATTCTGTGGAGATATATACTTTATTGAACATACTCTTATGTCATCAGGCCTGAACTTGATACTGCTAAATTTCTTAGGGGTAAAATCCTCACCCCGGGCCCGAACCTAGGACTTGTACATGATGCTAGACAAGTGTGGCTCCACCAGTGAGGGAATAAATTTAATTTAGGGGCAGCAACTAAATGTTAGGCCTATTTGGGGTCAGTTTTCAAGTTTGTGTCCATGTTCAGGAGTACCTCAGGCTATAACATTCCTGCTTCTGGTCTGAGCCCATCCATGGAGTTGATGTGTATCAAGATATGCTATTTACACTTTCCCTTAACTCATCAGTAAAAGCCGGTGATCAATAAAGCCAGCATCAGGAATATAATCTATTATGCCCGGTTCCAGATTATTCTTCCCTACACTGATAATGATGACAATCGGGAGTGTGTAAAAAGGCTTACATGAGCAGGTGACAGGAGGAACAACGCTGCTGGTCTTAACTAAAGAGCAGTACTAAGTGGGATACGCAGTGTGCCATCCTGGCTGTAGGAGTAATTCTGTCACTGCTCCGTCCTAGGTGGGCCTTTTAGGAAGAACAGGCTCTGGCAAGAGTACTTTGCTGTCATCACTTCTACGATTGTTGAACATTAAAGGTGACATACTGATTGATGGTGTCTCATGGAATTCAGTGACCTTACAAGAATGGAGGAAAGCTTTTGGAGTGATACCACAGGTGAGTGCAAAAATGTAAAAAACAATCAAAATTGACCTTTTTAAAAAAAATAATTGTTTGACATACTTAAGATATTAAAATGATTCTGCAAAATATATTTGGTAGGTCCTGCTGTCTCTTTACTGTGCAAGGAAAATGTAGCATACAGAATGAAAGCCTCACTCTGTGTGATGCATATTTGTTGAAATGTTTTGAAGCTGTTTCTCTGAATCAGTCTCTAGCAGGGGCCTGGGTCATTTGTTGTGAATGGCCTCAGAGTCCTGCTTCAGCACTCAGAGCTCCAAGCAGCCTGCAGCAGCCCCGTGGGTAAAGGCTCTGCAAAATGGGAAAGAGGCTTCTGAGATCACAAGCTCTCAGAAGTGTGACATAGTGGAGTTAGAAATGGAAAGTGCAGTGATTGTCCTTTGGAGTTTGAATAGGAAATACTACCGTCAGGTTAGTCTATAGATTCCTATAAATGTCAGTCCTGGTTTAGCTTGTACAGGATCTCTAACCTCATCTCTAACCTCATGTAAACCAAGAGATGCCTTTACTGAGACAGAAGCCAAAGACAGTGCAGTAGTTCTGCTGGTGTTTGCCTTTTCCCCGGAGACCTTTTTCATTTTTGTTCTACTAAGCACCAAAGCAGTCCACAATAATGGTCCTTTTAAGCACCTCTGTACTTTTAACACAAAATTAACATGCCAGGACCATTGCCAGGTAAACGCACTACAGATCTAGACCAAGAAAATGCTTGTATTTCTTGATAAATGATCTTCACAGAACATTTGCTCCTTTCAAGTGGTGAGACATGAAATATCGTAACCACCAAACTGATGCTTTCAATTTATTTCTATCGTGTGCCATTTTCCCAGACATTTCATCCTGGCTGAAGTTGTGGAAATACTGTGTTTTCTTCAAAAAGACAAAAGGGGTTGTCAGATGGTCTAAAGACAGAGAATTGCTAGAAATACAAGTTTCCTGAGGTGATGGCATTAGGCGAGAAAAAATGCTAAGGACAGTGGAAGGGAATGTGGTTGTCAGAGAAGCACTGCTGTTGAACTTCCCGGTTTCAATGAAGGCAGCAAAAGCTTTGCCTTGTTGTTCTTGTTCACTAGAAAAGCCAAGCTCTAACAGTTCACTCCTCTTGCCCTTCACTGTCCCTGCTACACAAGAGAAGGGCTCCATCCTCATGCCAGACCCAGAGCCAGAGTTATGAAAACCTGCCCTGCCTTTCTGAATAGGTGGATCTTCAAACTTGCCTTTTATAGCTTCAAGGTTTACATTAAAAGAAAAATGTTCAGAGGCCCTTCAGAAATGCTGATGGGGGTCATATAGCCCCTTTTCTCTGTGTCTCAAGAATATCTGCTACTATGGTTGTTTACATTGTCTTGATGGCAATTATTGAATGTCCTGTGAATACCTAAGAAAGAGAAAGAGGACAAAGTCCTCATATACTTGATGTCTAAACCTAGGGCTACTTTGCTTTTTTTTCTAACTTTTCTTGAAAAGTAAGAATTACAGCATGTATTTTCTTATTTCCTGGAGTTTGTTCTTTAGAAAGATACAAAGGAGAGAACTGAGTATCCAAGGAAAACAAGTTTGCTTTGCTTTCTCATCCTTTCTTTTCTCCTATGTCTCACCTAACAAGGGTATACTTCAGAAGGTCATCTTTACTTTGAGCTAGGGTAGTGTACAAGGTTCATTAGCCATTGGTTTTCAGACACACAAAACAGGTACTTTGAAAAGCATCCCCTCTCATACAGGGGTCCTGAAACATTGGCTGTGGAGTCACAAGATGCTATCAGTTTGAGCGGTTCCTAGCAGTTTTATGTTTTGTTTTGTTTCCTTTTATAGTTTAGGTACGACAGACTATTGTACATTTCAAAATAGCCTCTTTCATTTGTTCTGTTTTGGCTTTCAGTTCTTAGTCAAGAATAGGAGGCGATGAGGCTAATTGTTGGTATCTCACTGGCTTAGACAATTAGGGTACCAAAATGAAAATATTCACTAACTGTGGACCTTGTTAAACAGATAATTAAAGAAAAGGAATTATTTTAAAGCTTTGGTTGCATATTTGGAAGGCTGCAAGTTTCTCTGAGTAAATGACTAGAACTTTTCTATTTCTTTTCATTTATTATTATTATTATTATTATTATTATTATTATTATTATTATTATTATTATATGTGTGTGAATGGGGGGAGCATGTGAGGGAACATGCATCATGGCACACTTATAGAGGTCATGGCACAACCAGTACACTCCTTCCACCATGGAATTTGGACAGTGGATTCAGGTCATTGGGATTGTGTGGCAAGCATTTTTATCCACTGAGCCATCTCACCGACTCTTTTTCTTAATGGTTTAAAAACAATCAGCATCTACCCATCACTGTCCATCATTGGGACATCTTTTGCATTGAAAAGTTTCAGATAGCACGTATAGACACAAATGATGAAATTGGTGGTGCCAGCTTAAAATTCACCATATGAAATTATTATACTTTGTGCTTAGAATTATAATACCCAGACTTTTTAGTTACATCAAATGTAGAGATACTACTTTTCTTTGATATGCCAGAGACATTCCAGTCCAACCTGGAAGAAACTCAAAACTATGCTCATTGTCATATGACAATAATGAAAAACTTAGACCAAAGTGAGAAACTGAAAATGAGTAATTAAATAGAGCTGTCTGTCAAGGTTTGGGCTAGTGGGGGAGTATGTAGCCAGTGGTAAATGTCCAGACCACAGGCCTGCTGTCCCTCCTCTCCTGCTGCTGTTTGTCTTCTCCTTTTTCTTCTTGCTTTTTCTCTTTTTGCAGCAAACATGTAACTGTTTACTTATCAGACTTCATGAATTGAGGAAGTTTTTTTTTTTTTTTTTTTCTCCAACACAAATTCTCTGCTTTCACTGTCCACACCCAGATGGGATCTCAAACCCTGTTTATGCAATTCTGCTTGTACTTCTACTATGTCTTATTTTCAGATTATCTACATGTCCCTTTTATCTCCACAGTTTTACACATAATGATCAAAAATGGAAAAGAATGATAGAAATACTAATTAAAATGCATTACTTCTGAAATAATCCCTCTGCTGTAGGATCTTTCATGGGCGGAATTCAAAATACATCATTCTGTGCTGAATCACTAAAGTTGCTGTCTCTCACATTTGTGGTTCCTTCAGCATTTGGGCTCTGTTCTATAATCTTATGCAATTGCTCTATCTGAGTTTTCTCATTTGTAAAATGGGTATTATAATAATTTGAACAATTCTTTGCACTTTTGTGGGAATTGAATGAAAAATAGACTCCTCCTTTCCTCGTTGCTTGAGCATTATTGTGTGTGGTTATTATTATTTTTAATTCTATGAGGAAAAAATGTCATGTCTCCTTTGTCTTTGTATTGGACTGAGGGTATGTTCTAAAAGTATAAATAAATGAATGTGGGTAGTTTTGCAAAGAAAATTATAATGAACACATGCCATAAAGTGTCATAAAGTTTTTTTCTATTTTTTTAATTCTTTATTAATTACACTTTATTCACTTTGTATCCCCACTGTGGTTCCCTCCCTCCTCCAGTCCCAATCCCTCCCTTCCTCCACCCTCTGCATGCATGCCCTTCCCCAAGTCCACTGATAAGGGAGGTCTTCTTTTCCTTCCTTCTGATCCTAGTCAATTAGGTCTCATCAGGAGTGGATGCATTGTCTTCTTCTGTGGCCTGGTAATGCTGCTTCCCCCTCAGGGGGAGGCAATTAAAGAGCAGGCCAATCAGTTCATGTCAGAGACAGTCCCTGTTCCTATTACAATGGAACCCACTTGGATACTGAACTGCCATGGGCTACATCTGTGCAGGGGTCTTAGGTTATCTCCATGCATAGTCCTTGCTTGGAGTATCATCAGTCTCAGGAAAGACCCCTGTGCTCAGATTTTTTGTTTCTGTTGCTCTCCTTGTAGAGTTCCTGTCCTCTCCAGATCTTACTGTTTCCCACTTCTTTCATAAGCCTGACACAGAGGACCTCTGAAAGGCTCTGCCCTGCAGACTATCAATGCAGATGCTGAGACTTATGGGCAACCTTTGGGCAGAGTGCAGGGAATCTTAAGTGTCATAAAGTTTATAAGTTCAGAAGGATTGGGTACATGGGGTTCTGGGCAGGGAGACTATGAGCAATCAAAAAGCTAGGTCAGTAGGAAGGGAAGGGGAGAAGGGTTAGAGGAAGTCACAGGTTAGGGAAATTAGGAGGAGTCAAGGCATGGTCCAACAGGAAGGGGCTGATTCTCCTGGGGTAAGAAATGTCCTGGAGAAGTATATACCAATGGGGCATTGGTATATACTTGATGGACTCTCAAATGACTACACTTTGATGTGTGATTAATTAGAACTTGCTGAGGTACACAGGTGGACAGAGTGCAGAAATCCAGGGAAAGCAGAAGAGTAATGTCATGTTCCGTTTTCAAATAACCACAATGAAATTTAGCTATTTCTGAGCCTGAAGTGAGAAAATTAGAAAAACGTTTTATGTATCTTTGGAAGGGTTTATACTAAAATTTTGTAGTATTAAAAATATGCTATGAGTGAGTTTTCAGGGATCTGTGCTTCTACTGTCCCACATGAAGTCTTTTGAATTTAAATAAACGGTACACACATTTGATGGTATGACAGTCTACATCAGTTATAAACTGTTAATAGTTCTGAACAGAAATACATTGTGCATTATTCTCCCGTTGATATATGGTTTTTAAAGCAAACCAATGACCAATTTTAAGCATTATAATACAACCTGAGGATCTTGGTGGTTTATATTGGGATGGGATTCTATTGTACAGATGCAGTCTGCAGGAAACTGCTGCAGAATTTGTCAGAGGGATTTCAACCACTGTCGTATTTGCAAGAATTTGGGTTACATTTCAAGGGAACTATTCATATGTAAACCTACATATATGCATTCGCAGGGACAGTTCATCTCTCTGTTTACTTACTTTATATTAGATGCTATCACCACATGAGCGGAATTGCTTGTTTTTGTTTTCATTTGACATCTGGTACTAACGTTAGTGCCCGATGCGGTGACACGCGATCAGCCATGGGAAGTCCAAGTAGGCGCAGCTCCCTCCAGAAGGCTCAGGAGTGGGGAGGCAGCTTTAGGGAAGAGATTAGTCATGTGGTGAACGATGGGGACAGCTAGATTCTGCCTGGAGTCTCAAGAATTGCACTTTATACCACACATGACATTAGATAAATATCAAATATTTGCTTGCCCTAACTTTCTTATTAGTGAGTAGTTTCTTACGAGGCCAGTGGGAGGTCCCTGTGATTGAGAACTTCAGGTGCTTCTTTTTTTTTAGGTACATGGCAGATCTGAGCGTGCCAGTCGGCCAAAGCATCCCATTTCCCAGGGCCTTTACTGTTGAATTTGTAAACCTGAGAGAAAGCGTTTAGGTTGACCTCCAAAGAGCTTTCAGTTGTACAGAGGGATTTGTGGGTGTTTAGTTTAGGAAGCAGAAGTAAGGCACAGTGAAAACCAGCAAGTGCCAGAATCTCTTTGATTACAGGAATGGAATGTCTGATTGATTGCATACAATTGAATTCTAACTGAACCAGTTTGTTCAGTCAATTTTTCTTTAAAATTGGATATGTAGTTCATGTGCTTTTATTAGACATAAAATTATGAGCAAAAAGCCTACAAGATTTCTGAGCTGTAATAAATCCACCACACCTAAAGCTTTTAGATTCCTAATCGACAGCATCCTTCCTTCATAATTTTGAATGTGTATAAATTAATTAATTAATTAATTAATTAATTAATTTAATTTAAATAAAATAAATTAGAAAAAATGTCATAAATTTCATAAACTAATATATGTTATAGACTATTATGAATAAAAGTTAGGTATGCTATTTTCTGAAGCAGCCACAAGGAATCTTCACATATTGAATGGGTTGTTGGTGTTATATTTTAAAGAATTTTGATACTTGTAAGCATTGAATCACATTTAATAGATCTCTTTCTATCACTCACATTCACATATACACTCACACACATGCACACTCACATTCACACAAACATACACACACACACCTTTATTAGCTAGAACAATAGCTTATAGAAGTTAAGGAAAAATAACATTTACTCTGATTCTGATTATTTTTTACTTTTACTTCTCCACATCAGCTTACTCATTCAAGTAACTTGTGTTGAGTTTATACAAAGCTTGTATCTAAAAAAGGAAGTAAAGACATGGACTTCAAAGATATAAAAGAGATATAAGCTTTAAAAAACAAAAATTCACATAATCTCTGTAGGTTTTTTGATTTTTTTTTTTTTTTGAGACAAACCTAGACTGGCCTCCAGTTTTCTAGGTAACTAAGAGTAACCCTGAAATTTTTATCTTCTTTTTTTTTTTTTTTCCTATCTCCTGAGTGTTGAAATTATGGGTAAATGCTATCGTGCTCAGTTTATATGCTTCCGGGAAGACACCCAAGGACACTTGCAAATTAAGCGTGCATTCCTACCAACTGAGCAACATTCCTAGCACCTAAGCTTAGTATTATTCAAGGAAAGAAAGTATAAATAATTGAAGGAGCTTGTTTGGTTTGAGGATAAAGAACAGTGCCCCTAGGAAATGAAACTTAACTTGAAACATGAAGGATACAGACTGTCATGTGAAGATCATGCAGTATAAGATTTCCAGTTGAGAAGAATGAATTATGTGAAGAAGCTAAGAAAGCGTGTGTTTAGAATAGAATGGAGTGGAGAGGGGCTATACCATCTTGTGGACATCGTAAGGACCTTGTGCCCTAACTGAAATGGAAAGTCATTTCCATTGATCGTAAATTACTTGAGTGGATTGTAAGAGAAGCAAGAGTATTAAGAAGGAAATCAATTTAGGAAGCTCTTTCAGTGACATAGAAAGAGCTAATGATGGCATGCGTTATTCAGTGGGAACAGAAGTTGTGAAATAAATTGATTTGACATATAGTTTGTGTATAAAATAAATGACCGATGGCTCGTTTCATTTAGGTAGGTTGAGGAGTAAGATGATCACGAGTGACTCTCAGTTCCTGCCATGTACTGAGATGGGGATGCAGAGAGGACAGAATTAGTGTGGCATTCCTCTGCTTTAAAAAGCAAGGAAATAAAAGATACTGGGTTCCTGTTTATAGCATACCTACCCAACCAGATTACCACAGCATCTTTGCAGGCCACATTCCCTTTAGTAACTGTATATTTTGAAGATAAAACATTTTGTCCACTCCCTTCAGTCTTCCAGGATAATGTCACCATTCAGATTGGCCAAAGTAAACATTTCTATTGTGTGCTTCAACAGAATATATAACTCTTTCAAATTACACAGAGGCAAACAAAATAATAAAAAGGAGAAAAAGTTATTTTAGACATTAACATCAAAATTATTTTGCCAGTCTTCTGTGTGTAGAGGACTAAATATCACTAAAAGTGATATAAAGGAAATACATAAAATTATAACTAGGTAATGAATACATAGATGCTCATTTGTTTCATTTCTTACTTGAAATATTTTGGAATAAAGAAGAAAATATGTACAATATATAGATTATTCATACTTTTTACTTTTCTTTATCATTATAGAAAGTATTTATCTTTTCTGGGACATTCAGACAAAACCTGGATCCCGATGAAAGATGGAGAGATGAAGAAATATGGGCAGTTATAGATGAGGTAAGCATGTAAATGAAATAGTTTTGAATGGGCAGGCCATACACACAAGTGCAGTATAACATCTACCTGTTTGCCTGTGTTACATGCTTTATGAGTGCAGTGCTCTAAGTTACTGGCATATTCATGTTTTCAACTAGACTCATCCCATATTCTCTTCTCAGGGGAGTCAGTCCTTACATAGTCTTTTCATGCTGATTTAATAAAGTTCCATAGACGCAGTTGTTGAGAGTCAAGATATGTTTCTCTCTCACCATTTTAGAGACTAGGAAGTCCAAGGTTAAGGAGCGAGCCAGCAGACTCCTTAACCTTTATTTATTACCCTACCCTACTTCCAGGCAGTTCAGAGATATGTTTCTTGCTGTGCCTCCCTCGGTATAAGTGGTGAATGAAGTCTCTTTCCATTATAGCACTAAACCCCTCCATGTGGTACTCAGAACCCAGGACCTAATCACGTCCCAAACATTGTATCTCTCAGTAGCACTACCTTGGGCATTAGGATGTTGACATGAGTTTCTGAAGCGTATGTACCTGTGGACTTAGAATTTCCTCCTTTATTCCCTCAAGTCATGTCTTTTCCTTATGAAAACATATTTGTCCATCTCAACAACCCCACAGTTGTAACTCATTCCTGTATCAGTTTACAACTGGAAATCCCCAAATCTCAGCTCAGCCAGATCCAGGAGACTTTGGGTGTTTGGTTTTCCATATTGGCAGTCCACCCTTTCCTGCCCTTTGGTCTTGTTGCTCCCTTGCTGCTCTTCCCTTTTCTGCCTCCCTCCAGAGCAGATCTTGCCAGGAGCTTTGAAGCCTCTGAGTGCTAAATGCTAACCCCTTGAGTAACCAACCTTAGCCTTCCCCTAATAAAATGCACTGAGATTAACCGTTTTCATTATCAAGGTTTCCTTATTACCCAGCAAACACAAGGATTTGAAAGAAAACATTAACTAAATTGCTGGTTACATGCTGTAAGATCCTTGATGTGAACTGTAAGAATACAATGTACTGGGAGAGAACTTGGGAGAGATGGTATTTAGCTTTATAAAAACCAAGTATTGCCAAGTCTCCATAAAATTTGCAGAAAAGCAGGATCATAAAATCATCTAAAATGTTAGAAGATATGCTTGTAAGACTTTAGTTTCCAATATAATGCAGGTAGTCACATGGCTTGATTTTGTCCATATGTCCATCTTTAGATGTATCTTCTCACCTATCCTCTTTTAAAATTTATGTTCATAAATCAGCTGCTGCTGAGCTAACTTTAATGTCCCATGAATTGAGTTTGAGTGACAAGTGTTTTGTTGAAGAGACAAAGAAACACAAGCACCAAACCCTATCTTACAGCAGCAGGAAGAAGATCTCACAAATCCCAGGTTTTCATCTTATATGGTTGATGATCCAACATAAGCAAACAGGGACATGTTAGGGTGTATCAGCCTACAAGGATTCTGGGACAAAAGTCTAGCCTCCTGGGCTGGTTCCAGGCAGTTCCCTTTCCTATGCAGCTCTGGAGAGCTTTATAAAGCCTGCATATTTAGCCCTCTTACCACCCCTCCCTCTGTCTCTCTAGTGACCACTGGGCAGGTTCCCTGTTGTACATTGCTTAAAGGACCTTTGTGATTTTGTGTTTGCTGCTCTGCTCTTAGCCCCCAACCTCCTCTGTGTCCTATGAATCAGCACGGTGAATTTCAATTTTCTTTAAGACCCAGAATGTTCTATGTTCTATGGTAGGGGCTAGATGCAGCTACTGTTTCTGCTTTTCACTTGCTGTTCTCTGTACCTGGGAAAGCCTGGAGGTCCACTGCTGTTTTTTCTTACCGTTAAAGCCTCCCGCTACTTGTCACTTCTTGCGTGCCACACAAGAGCACTTACACTGTATTCTTCCAGGAAATGAACTGCCTTAGGACTTAAAACAGAGAAATGATCCAATCTCAGATCTGCGTTTTAGGGAGCTCTCTTAAATATTTCTGTGATGTGTTGTCAGTTTGACTCGTTGAGACTTGCAGTGTGATGCTTAAGAAATGACAGAAGCCTAGACAAGGTTCACTGTGTCAGAACCGACAAAGAGAAAGAGTTCAGAAATAACTGGGAGAAATTCTAGGCCGGAGACGGGCTTTTAAAATCATTAGCTTAAAGGTAGACATTGAGACCATGTAAATTACAAAACTCTGGAGACAGGAGATGAGTTGGCTTTGGGTCCTAAGGTGCAAGGGACAAGGCTTTGTATTGAGTCTCCTGAGTTACATCTGGGCACTCTTCCCTGTCTAATGTGCCTATATTCCCTACTTTCTCAGAATCCTTTTTAAACCCTAGCTAGTTTACATGAAAGGTAGTTTTAAAAAGCCATATGTTTTAATTTTCTCTAATGAGCACATATGAGCCCGATGTAAACTGTTATGTGAACCACTTCTAAATTCAACTCCAAGATCATGAGATCTTTCTGAAGGCCTTAACAAAATCTGTCTGTGTTAGTTATATGGGTATATATCTTACCTGCACATATGAAAGTCCAGATTCCTGAAGAGCAAGAGATAATCCTATCTGTATTTATCTAGCTCATATACTGAATGGTTCTTAGCAAAGAAGACATAACATACATGTATTTGAGTAAGCAGCAAACACCAAGATATGTATAATTATGTCTTATTTTTGACAGAATGTTTTTTCTTTTACTTTATAACCCTCCTTTAGAATTTCAGTTTAAAAATATAAGCCATTAATTCTAAGTGAATCCTCATATTCTACATTGAAATCTAAGAGCCTTTAAATTTTAGTTATGTTCCATTTTTAACTAAGTAACTTTTTACTTCATGAGAAAGTTATTAATTTCTCATAGATTTTATTGGTGAAAGAGATACATACTGGAGTGTCATGTGATTTTAAGAGCTTTCCCAGCTAGTTTTTTCCATATTTCTCATCCCTTATTACAGATAGAAGGTGAACATATGTCATGTCATGTCTTCCATTCTTTTTGCTCTTGAATCCTTTTCCATCTACACTAGGATGTCATGACATAGTGAGTAACTATGTTTTGTATCTGTTATTTTAAAGCACACATTCAATCACATTTACAAATACACACACACATTTTTGATAATCCTGAGCGTTTGTGAAGCAGGTATAATTGGGGAACCTGGCACTTAACAAATGGACACTGAATGATTTTTGAATGAAGTTTGGGACTGAAAGAAATCCTTCAGTCAGCTTAGAGCTGCCTGTATCACAAGCAGACTTTTAGTTAAGTGGGAGTTGAGAGTTGAAGGTGATGTGAAATTTAATCTGTGCAAACTCAAATGTATTTTTAGAATGTCAGCCTCTTAAGTATCTTAGTCCTGTGGTATTTCAAGGCCCCCCTCTAAGCACAGTGCTTTCCTTTCTTTTCTACAGGTGGGACTCAAGTCTGTGATAGAGCAGTTTCCTGGGCAGCTCAACTTTACCCTTGTGGATGGGGGTTATGTGTTAAGCCATGGCCACAAGCAGTTAATGTGCTTGGCCCGATCTATTCTGAGTAAGGCCAAGATCATACTGCTTGATGAACCCAGTGCCCACATGGACCCCGTGTAAGTGCCAGAAATCCTGTTATGTCATAGCCCAGCAGAAGCAGACTAATTGAAAGTCACTTCATATTGATATGAATTCTCATTCAGCTACCATGCCTACAGATAAGGGCCACAAAATAATTGTCCAGGGGAAAGTCACTATTTAACATGAGCACAAGTACTTATTTCCTTCAGTAAGGGCCATGTTTTTTCTTCTAACTGGAGTTTGGAATTTCATAAAACTCTTCAACCTCATTAACACATATGAAGTATTCAGTTAGGTATGCACACTCTTATGGCTTTCCCCTATATTCTATTATATCATAAATAGCACTAATAGCACAAAATAACTGATGATGAATCTACATAAAACATAGTTTTATATTTTATAATTTTTTAAATTAATATTTACCTTATTAGTGTATGAAATACTTAGAATGTACCCCATTGTTAGAAAGCTGATTGTGGCCAATTTTGTATCAACATTGTGATCAAAGTTTTTTTTAAGTAAAGAACTAAGTCTAAGAATACTAAGTACATTGTCAAAGATAGAGGCAGATTATTCGCCCTCTCTAATGTTGTGTGTGCTATTTTCTTGCTTTGCCAGAACATATCAAATAATTCGAAAAGTTCTAAAACAGGCCTTCGCTGGCTGCACAGTGATCCTCTGTGAACACAGGATAGAAGCCACGTTGGATTGTCAACGATTTCTGGTGAGTCTGTTACACCTGTTCAGTGTCTCATTCCTGTTTATTTTAACAGTCTTGTACAACAGTTAGTGTAAACCATTGGGATGTACTCCTTTTTATTACATATGTCACACGTCTACCAGCTCGCCTGAGTGTGGCTGCATCGGTCCTTTCCCCCTGACATGAGCTATGAAGTGATGTTGAAATTTAGCACATGCCCAGTGGGAGCATATTATTAAGTGACTCTGCAGATCGGGTATCTCTGCTTCCAGATCTTTCTCTGGGGAACAAGTCACAAAATGTACTATTGAGGGGTAAAAAAAAAAAAAAGTCCGCCTGTTTCTTTCAATAACTAGGACTGACTTCCCATGGGGAAAATACTGGGATGGGCCTTACTGTTAGTGGTTTTCATGTCGTAGTAGAGAAACCTGTTTCATCATCCTCATTAGTCCTGGAACTCAGGTTAGTGTCTTTGTAAGCCACCTTCTCATTTTCTTTCCAAAACATCACAGTTCCTGTTTAGTCACAAGGAAGTTCCAAGGTTCATGTAACATTTTCATTTCCCCAAAGCTTTAGAATATTCTGAAAGTCAATACTTGTTTTACTTCCTATTGTCCTTAGCCAGCTGCAAGTGACTAGAGAATAGAGTCATCTTCTGTTCTGCTGTAGTCAAGTTCTGGGGTTGGGTAAGGCTCTCTACTCTTTGTCCTCAGGCTTGCAAAACTTTAACATGCACTGCAGACATTTTTCTCAGTCACACCTAGGCAATTTGGAATTGGTAGGCCTTAGACCCAGTTGTGAAAAAGTTCAAAGTTTATGGTACTGTGTATATAGGTCAACTTAAGAGTTTATAAGAGATGGATCATGGATTATTCTGGTTTACAGAGCTCCTTCAGTTGATCTCCCATTCTCTGAAGGAGTGGAACATCTGGTGTCACATGAAGTATAAAATTTCAATCCCTATTTTCACAGCTGATTTCACAGATGTGAAAATTAAGTAACATAGACAAGGCTCTGAATCCCAGGTTTTATTTGGACTTTTGTTCTCCTTTGGGCCTGGGTCAGTTTCTGTGCCTGTATTGTCCTGCTCTTCACTCTGTCTGAGTTTTCACTAAGTTTTCACGGCCTTTTCCCTAGGTCCTAGAAGACAGCAGTGTATGGCAGTACAACTCCGTTCAGGCCCTTCTGAGTGAGAAGAGTGTCTTCCAGCAGGCCATTAGCTGCTCAGAGAAGATGAAGCTCTTCCAGAGCCGCCAGTCCAGCAAACTGAAGCCTCGGCCACAAATTACTGCTCTGAAAGAGGAGACAGAAGAAGAAGTGCAAGAAACCCGTCTCTAGTGGCTGTGATGCTGGGAAAGCAGCTCGGTGCACCTGGGTACATTCCCAGTAAGCCATGCAAAATTCAAAAGCCAGGCATTTCTCCTGCTCCTAACCTGAGAGCTGGGGACAGAGGGACAGGTGGATCCCTGGGGCTCTGTGGCAAGTGATGCTAGCCCACAAAGAGAGTTTCAGGCCAGGCACCTAAGGGACAATAACTGAGGATATCCTCTTGCCTCCATATGTAAGTACACACACATGAACACACACAATTCATGGAAAAAGAAAAAGAAAAAGCCAAACTTTAGAAAGCAATGCAAATGACTGCAAAATGATCACATATGATGTCTGCTCATGGACTTGGAGGAGGAGAACCCTACTGCCTGTGCCTCTGAAAACTGGACAAAGCCCCCACCTTGTCTTTTAAGAGGCTGACTTGGAAGAGATATCAAGAGCATGTATTTGGGTCTGAGTAATCAGCTGTCTGGCAGTGGTCAAACTGTTTGAAAGGCACTTCAGATATTTGATGATGGACCACTTGTGTTTTGCAAGCCAGAAAAAATCTGTCCCCCCACCCCCACCCCGAGTAGTAGCTGGAAAGGCAGCTATAAATGCCATCTAGGATAGTAGTTCGGCTTATTATTCAGTGCAGCTGATTAATTTGCATTGTTGAAAAACTGAAATGATAGTGCTTAGAGGTAGGATGAAGTAATGCAAACTAGAAACTGGCTTACATAGCTCATATCCCTTCTTTCTCTTCTCTAAGATATTTAGACACACAGCTGCATTGCCTTTTACACACTGCCTATCCCATTCTGACCACATGTTAGAATATGAAAACACTGGGTGGTGTTGAAAGATGCCTCACTTGACATCTGGTTAAATCAGGAATAAGACCTTCCAGATCTTGAAAATTAAGGTGAAGATCATCCAGCCCTACTCCCATACATCTGAACATTCTCATTACTGGAATGCATTCCTGACGTAGGAAAAGAACAGTGCCATGAAGGGGCCAGGATAGCTTCCATGATATGCTGGAAAGCAACAGACCTTGAAGACTTCTGAAGTGAAGGAAACTTGTCTTAGTGCAAACGAGTGCAGCACAGTGCCAGGGCCAGGAGTTCCCCTTTAGACAGGCCATGCACTGTGTGAGTAGATGCTCATGGAAAAGTGCAGCAGGATGTATGTTCACATGCTCTCAGCTAGCTGTGTGTGCTTCAAACCTCCTCCACAGGGAGTGTGGGGGAGACACTCTGAAAAAGATTTAATCATGAATTAGTTTTATATGCTCTGTTTTATAATTTGTGATGTAAATGAAATTTTCTCTAGAAAATATTTTAGTAATAATGTTTCAGGCTCATATATAACAATACTATATTTAAAGAGTGATTAAATAATGACTTATATTTGTATAAAATAATTTTTTATATTTGAAATGTTGAATTTTTGTAGCACTAGTTATTTTTAAATGGAGGAGTGAAGGACAAGAATGATAAGGACCAGTCAGTCACCTTCATGGTGTGAAACATTGGGACTGATATTAATCTCGTACTTATCTATGTGGCTCTCAGACAACACAAGTTCCCTTTTAATGCAGCTTTGATGAAGACGGTACCAAAAGTTAACATGGTCTAGTCAAGGGCACCTCAGTTTCTGAACTGCAAACTAAGCCTTAGGAGAATGTATTGTATTTATTACTGTAATAGAATATCATGTGTCAATAAAATTCTTTATTTGTGTGAAATTCATGTTTCAGATGTGTTCATTTGGTGTGCTCTGGAATCCCTAGCTCTAGTCTCTAAGCTTCTTGGAACATAAATCTTCCTTATAAATGTCTTTGAGAATCCCAGTTGAGTTAGAACACAAATCATCAAGTTGTGTCTTCATATTTCAGTCAAATGTTTGTAATATGTTTACAGTTTTCATCGTTTAAAAGAACAGTTCAATAGCATTTTGTAAATCTACATAGCTGCATAGTTACCAATACTATTAACTATTCATTTCTAGTTAAAGATTTTTTTCATCCTGAAAAACTGTCTTTATCCGTTAACTAATAACTCTTTCCCTCCAATCCTCAATCCATGAATTCTACTTTGGTCTGTGATTTTGAGTGTAACTAATAAGAATGCAATCTTAATATTATTACCTTTATACTTACATCTTTTTCTTAACTTAAAGTTTGGAAGACTCAGCCACATTATATTGTATCAGAATTTTCTCTTCCTACTCAAGGCTAAGAAATAGCATATAAATAAGTAAATATATACATATATATATATATATATATATATCCTATAGCATATATATATATGTTATGCATGTTATGTATGATATTTTGTGTAGATTAATGGCTATTCATCTACAAAAGGGCTCAGGTCAACTTTACATTTTTGATGCGGTAAATACGTATGTGAACATGAATGAACTTTATAACTAAGGAACTTTATGTTAAATAGCAGCATAGAGAACACAAGAGATTTATAAATAAATAAAAAATAAGTAAATAAATAAATAATGCATTATTATTATTATTTTTTACAACCAATGAGTTGTAATGTGTCTACATGGACACATTATTTCCAAAAATAATGGTTTGTGTCATTGGTTCTCAACCTGTGGGTCATGACCCCTTTGGTGGTTAAATGATTCTTCACTGGGGTCACATATCAGATATCCTACATATCTTATTAATCACAATTCGTAGCAGTAGCAATGAAAATAATTTTATGGTTGGGGGTCACTACAACATGAGGAACTATATTAAAAAGCTGCAAAATTGAGAAGGTTGACAACCACTTGGATGGTTAGTTTTTGTTGTTATTGTTTTTATTGGGTTTTTTTGTCAACTTGGCACAAGATAGAATTATTTAGGGAGGGGAACCTCAGTTGAGAAAATGCCTCCATCCTATAGACAAGTCTGAGGTTCATCTTCTTGTTTGAGGATTGATATGGGATGGTATAGCTCACTGTGATTGGTGCTGCCCCTAGACTGATAGTCCTGAATGGTATAATAAATCAAGCTGACACTCAGTCCTGATGCAACTTGAGAGCTGGGGCAGGTTGGGGGCTCCTCTTTTTCTGAGGAACAGGGGAATGGGAGGAGAAAAAGGGAGGGAGGGTAGGACCAGGAGGAGAGGAGAGAGGGGCCTATGATTGGGATGTGAAGTGAATAAATAAATTTAAAAAGAAAAAGAAATCAGGCTGAGCAAGCCATGGGGAACAAGCCAATAAGTAGCATCACACAGGCTACTTTCTCTGCCCTGAGAGTTCTCTTGTGTCCTCATTCTTCCTCCCCCAATCCCTTGCAACTCTTTCGGTGTTTGGTCTGATGCTTTTATTTTGATGCTTATTACTGGCCCTCAACATCTAGTTACTGCCCTATCCTTGTTGTGTTGAGAGAGCAAAGATTTAAAAATCAGTGGCTATTATTTTAAAGTTTAAAGCCCAAGTCTGAACTAAGGCCAGCCAAGTGGAGATATGTCCAGCCACCTTCTAGGAAGAACTAGCCTTACTGCATTCTTTCCTGCCCACTAGAAATACAGTTGCTAGGAAACTGGCCCATTCCCCTAGCAAGGGAAGCCAGACCATTAATGATTTGGGGGCCTTCCTATACCCAATCAATTCAAAATGCAACATCCCTTTTGTGTTTCCACCAATAGATGCTTGCCAGGCAGGAATCTCCCGGCTTTGGGCATGCTGAAAGGGACTGGACTCTTTATACCACCCAACTAACCTGAGCATGAGGCTCTTGGCTCTCACCGCTTTGGTGGTGAGGGTTGTGAGACCAAGCTGCAGCTTGTAATAAAAAGATCTTCATGCGTTTTCCAATGGACTCAACTCCTGGTGGTGGTCGTTTGGGGTCTTGCAATTGGGCCACAACAGCGTAAACCTGCCTAAGACATTATTTCTGACTGGTTGATTAAAATTGCTGTAGACTTTACAAGTGTGTTCAAGTAATCCATGTCAGCTGAAAAAACACTGTTCCCTTAGTGTGAGTGCCTTAAAAGAGCAAAGCAGTGTAGCTGAGGAGATGGCTAGTTAGACGTGCTTGTTCTGAAAACATAAAATACTGAGTTTGGATCCCCAACACCCACACAAAAAGCTGAGAGGTTAGAGACAGGAGAGTCCCTGGAGTTTGCTGGTCAACAAGTCTAGCCAAATCCATGAGCTTTGGAGTCGATGAAAGACACTGTGTCAAAAGTAAAGTGGAAAGTGAGTGAGGAAGACACAGGAGGTTGACCTGTGGCTGCACTGTGTACATACATGCCTGCACACCTGCACCCATTCACACACAAGTGTGAACACACAACACCCCTCCCTGTCCTTCCTTCCCCACCAAATATTTCCAATTCCTCCTCTCTGTCCCTATTACCATTGCGGTTACTCATTTCACTTATATGCAAGCATATTTCCATATGCACTTGTATATGTGAATATACTGTGCTTTAAAATAAACCTTTAGATTAAGGAGAAAAGTAGAAGTGTGTATTTTGTTTTCAACATTAATCCTCTGAAGGGTTTTCTCCTTTATAATGTAAATGAGGTTCTGACCTTTATCTCTTTCCTTCCCTCTGAAGAATGTCTTTTATTTAACACTTTTTGCCAGGCAGGTAATTGACAACATGATCTCTCAAGTTGTTCCTCTGATAAAAGTTTCAGTTCTCCTTCACTCTTGAAGGATTATTTCACAGGGTACAGAAAACTGGATGGAGTTTCTCCCCACCCCCACCCTCCTTTAAACACATTAAAATGTCACTTTGCTCTCTATTTCTGGAATGATTTCTGAGCGGCCAGGTGCAAGCCTTTCTTTGCTTCTCCATAGATGAGATTTGCTTGCTTGCTTGCTTCCCTCTTTGGATTCTTTCAAGCTTTTTTTTTCTTTTTACTATTGACTTTCAGTGGTTTCACTATGATCTGCTTGTGTATAGTTGGGGGAATTTTTTTTTAAACAGTGTTTATCCTGCTTCATGTTATCTGAGCCCCTTGGATTTGTGGTTTGCTGTCTAACATGAATTTGAGGAAACTTCTTAATCATTATTAAACTTCAAAGCATTCTCTTTTTCTTCTTTTGATACTCTTACCATATATAAATTATGCTTTTAAATACTCTGCCCTGAAATTTTTTAGCTATTCACCTCTGGTTGCCTTTATGGTTATTCCTTTCATTCTTTTTTATTTGTATTTTTCGGTCTTGAGATTTCTATTGTCAAATCCTTAAGCTTAGAGATTCTCTCCTCATCCATGCACACCATACACACACTTTCCCTTCACCTCTGAATGCTGGAATTACAGGCATGTGCCGTTAGAATTGGCTCTGTGGTGAAGGGGATCAAACCTAGGATTCCTTGCATGCCAAGCAGTGTCATCCCCAACCCCAATTCTTTACTTTCATTAGTGGGTTAGCTCAAGTCTTTGTTTTGTTTTTAGCTTTTCATTTTATTCTCCTGTAGGAGTCCATCTCTTAGCATACAGCGCATCTATCTACATGCTGCATTCTCTTTTTATGACAGCCAGAGCATATTAATGCGAGTTTTCTTTAAATTCCTGGTTTGACAATTACACCATAATTCTGATGTTGTTAGGGTCTGGAATACGCTGAAAGAATGACCCCAAAGTTGAGTAGCATGCAATCAACAAATGGGTGTTTATTCTGCAGAAGACCAGCATGCTGGGGTCACCACCTTTACAGCATGGCAGCAACCCTGAGGGGAGTTGAAGGCCCCTTTTAAAGCCAGAGGGGGAAATCCTACTGTAGCTATGTGGCCTTTATTGGGATTGGCTGGTGCTCATTGAAGCTACAAGACCCTGATTGGGCCTTTGGTGCTTTTCAAACCAGTAGTTAAGCAACCTTATCTTCCCCAGGCCAGATGTCTTGACTGTTTCTGATTGGTTGCCTTTTTTTCTGTGTTTTTTTCTTATAATTCTAGGCCTGTTCTGACTGGCCAAAAAAAAAAAAAAAAAAAAAAGAAGCCTGTCATGGAGTTGATCAGGCTTATTTAGCAAGGCTCTCTCAACATCTGAGTCTTGTTCTAACTATGCTTTTCTTAGTGTGGCTTCCATGTTTTTGCTGAAAGGACGGCATGGTTTACCAGGAAAAGGAAGTGTGGGAAAACACACTTTCAATAATGCAATGACACTTAGAGAAGACAGTCCTCCAAGTCTTGTGATTAGGTGTTAGTCTTTTGTAAGCCTCAGCCCCTAGACTGTGTACTCCACCAGGACTTTTGAGATAGTTTGTTTTTCTTCTCTTGGAAGGAAAGGCCAGATGTTTATTTCTCTTCGCATACATGAGATATAGCAAGATCCCAGCAGGTTTGGTTCTGGTACAATGGCTTCTTCTGCGGAAAAACCTTTTTAAGTATTGAGCCATGAGGGCCATTTCAAATGTTAGTTTCTCTCCCCTTGCACACACAGGAGGGATCTTCCCTCTACTACTTTCTACTTGTTGGCAGAACTTCTCCAGTAGCCCCAAGGGAGCACAGGTTCCATTAACCTCTGACCTCTCTCCCTAGAACTCATAACTCTTCATGTTGTCCACCCAGAGACTCCTGAAATTCATCAGTGATGATTCGCGCCTTTCATTTAGTGTTTTTTGAGGTGAATTGAAAATCTCTCTGTCCCCATCTGTCTTTCTAGTTTGGGTGATGGTAGTTTGGCCCCATGACCTCTCTCCGCAGATGCATCTTAGTTGTAAATGTTTCGGTTTGTTGGGTTATTAGGATGCATGCTTGACTTAGAGGCTTA